AGATCCTCAACGTGGGGGCAGGTCATTGCGCGTTGGGTGGTGGAGGTGGTCCCCAAAACAAAGCCAATTTTCAGCTCGCCACCTCAGCACCACAAGGGATCGGGTTGATCCTGATGAGTCCCAGACCAGCTTTCCCATCAATTTTTGTAACTCCTTCAGTGGGAGCATTTCTCCCATTTCTCCGATTTCCTGCTTTTCTGACTGGAGAAATTAATTTAATAAATAATAGCAGGAAAGTAATCCTTTCTTTCTTTTTTTTTTGTTGGGTTGTTTTTTTTTTTTGTTTCCCCACATCATCTTTCCAGAGCAAGCTCGAAGCCTTCAAATCATGAAGGATGTTACGGGAAGGAATCCATGAGGAAATCCGTGAGGAAATTATAGCAGGATTTAGCAACTGATCTAACGAGTTCGTTAAATCATCATGTCAGGGATCCTTAAGCGAGGCAGACAGACAGCGGAGGATCCTGCTGTACTGAGGAGCATACCTCAGACAACGATACGTCTTGAGAAATACCGTGAAAAATCACCGCCTGTCGTCAGAACTCATTTGATTGAAACTTCCCCAAAACCTTTCACATTTCCTAATGGTTGAAACGAGTGACATGTTGCCATTTCTTATGATTCCTCGGAGTTCTGACTGTTCAAATTGAATTTTTATCGCTATTTTTTCACCGTCAGACAACCCAACCGTGGCTACACCCAGAACAACCTACTTGGTCTTGAAGTCTTCCAACAGATCTTGGAAGTTCTTCAGCTCTGTCTCCAGCTGGTGCTTTTCGCTCGAGAGGGAGTCCAGCTGCCTCCGCAGCCCGCTGATGTAGGTTTCGAAAAAGGGGTCGAGAGTCCTGCCACCCGTCCCCGTGCCACCCTGCTCCTGCAGGAGCTTCCACTTGGTCTCCAGGACTCGGTTCTGCTGCTCCAGGAACCGGACCTGGGCGATTGCAGGGGTGGGTAGAACAAGAGTCAGACTCTTCCTAAAAACATCTTTTTATTGGTTTTTTTTTTTTTCCCACATTTTCCATAATTTTTTCCCATTTAATGAGTTTAACCTTCCCGCCTGTTCTCATCTCCAGTGAGCAATAGCTCCAGGGTCCCACTGGAAGGGTGAGACCAGAGCTCTAGGGTGAGTGGACAAAGGTGGGTCACCTCCCCTCTCCAATCTCAGTCTCTAAACAGCAGAAACACGGCAAATGTCACAGCTTTGGCACCTTCTCCTTAAAAGCCTGGAGAAGAGAAGGCTCCGGGGAGACCTTCCAGCACCTCCCAGTGCTGAAAGGGGGCTCCAGGAGAGATGGGGGGGCTCTGGATCAGGGGGTGCAGGGACAGGACCAGGGGAACGGGCTGAAGCTGGAAGAGGGGAGGGTTGGATGAGAAATGAGGAAGATTTTTTGGATGCTGAGGGGGGTGAGGCAGTGGCCCAGGTTGCCCAGAGAAGCTGTGGATGCCCCATCCCTGGAGGGGTTCAAGGCCAGGCTGGATGAGGCTTTGGGCAACCTGGGCTAGTGGGAGGGATCCCTGCCCGTGGCAGGGGGTGGCACTGGGTGGGCTTCAATGTCCCTTCCCACCCAAACCATCCTGGGATTTGATGATTCGCAGCTTTGGCATCTTCTCCCTAAAAACAGGCCAAAACACCCCAAGTCCTTCAGCCCACGGATGGACAGAGGCCATCAGCAGACCCTCCTCCGAGGATGCTCTGCGCGTAGGGACACGGTCCCACAGCAGAGTACCAGCACCGCAGCCTTAAGAACAAGGATCCTGCTCCTGGGTTTCTCCATAACCTTGGGAAAGTCCCTTCTCCAGCCACCGCCTCTGTCTGCAGGGGTTCTCTGGGGTGCTCTGGGTGTTGTTGGGTGGGTGTCGCACCATCATTGCCACCAGCATGAGCCGTGGTGACCTCAACCCTCCTCTCCCCGGCCCGGGCTGGGGTCTCTCTCACCTTGTCAATGAAGGAAGCAAATTTGTTGTTGAGCTGCTTCATCTCCTCCCGCTCCTGTGTTCGCACCTTCTGGATCTCAGGGTCAATTTCCAGGTTGAGGGGGGCCAGCAGGCTCTGGTTGATGGTCACTTCTCTGATGCCACCCGGCGGGCAAGGGGGGAAGCCTTGACCTCCCATCCCGCCATCAAACCCTCCACCAAAGCCACCAAAGCCACAAACGAGGCCACCACCAAGGCCACCTCCAGCCCCACCGCCGTAGCCACCACCAAATCCTGCCCCAGCACCGTAGCCAAAGCCCCCTTGGCCACCAGCCCCGAAACCTCTGCAGACCCCACCGCCTGCCCCGAACCCTCCCAGGGCGGTGCTCTTACTCCCTCCCAGGCTATAGAGGCTCCTGCTGCTGAAGCCACCGGCGTTCCCAGGTCTCCTGCATCCCCCACGGGACACGGAGCTGAACGTGACCTTGTTCCTGCCCCCGAAGCAAGCGGAGCTGGAGCTGAACCCCTTCCCGAAGCTGCAGGACTGGCGAGACATGGTGGCGGGTCCCCAGCGACCAGAGCAGAGTCGTGCACAGGAGGATGCGGGGAGGCGAGAGGAGGTGAGTCCCGTGGGTGCCGGGCTGGGTGCCCCTTTTTATGTGCTCAGGGAGTTGGCTGGAACTCAGGGGAGTGGAGATGCCTCTTTTTTTTTTGGTATTATTCTCTTCATTGTTTTAGGGCTTGGAAGGATGCCCTCCTCTCTTTGCCACCACCATGACCTGCCTCAAAACACTCCCTGGAGAGCTAAGAAAAACACGCTATTGTTGGTGTTGGAAACACAACTCCAATCAAACTCCCTGAGCTGCCGCTGTCAATTCGTCACCGGCCTCCCTGAGCCTCTCGCGGCGATGACAAAGCACTCCAGATTCCTTGACATATCACACCCTCGAGGGAGACCCTTGTTCTGGGTCCATCACTCATGTTGAGCCCGGTGGCGGGTCCTCGGTTCACTGAAATCCAACAAAAACGCGGTTTCCCAATCACACCCTCGGCTGCACCCAGTTCAACCTCCTGCTCGGAGCAGCGTTGACTCGCGTTGTCCAAAACTGTTTCACAACCCACATTAGTCCTTGGCGGGGTCGTAAAATCCATTTTATGTCAATAAAGAAGACTTAGGAACAATTTTAAGAAGGTTTCAGTCATTTGAAATCCCTCTGATGGGTGTGTTGAGCCGGGAGGGACACGAGGGGTTTGCAGAGACCCAAATATCGCGATTTCGCCGTGTCGCGGACCCTTCGCCGTACCCCCAAGACGGTCAAGATGCCGTCACCAGCCCGAGGAGCTCTGCGGTGGCAGGTCCCATCCCTCCTGGGCTGGAGACCTTCCAGCATCGCCGGGATATTTCCCGATCGTCCGGCCACGAGCCCCCCCCCGCAGCACGTGGCGCTCAGCGCTCCCGCGCGAAGTCATCAGCCGGCTCGCATTGTTTGAAAAATATGATTTAATTACTTAACTGCTTTTAATTTATATTGTAATGAGCAGAGGTGGCTGGAGATGCCTTCCAACTGAGGCTCCCCATTTACCCCACCATTAAAAAAAGATAAAAAGTCATAAAACCTCCCCCCAAACCACAAGCTGCCGCTGAAGCCGTGGCAATCAAAGGAACCCTGTAATTAGCCCTTCATTGGAGACGCTCATGGGAGAGGTTTGGGGAACCAGTTTCAGCTCTGAACCCGTTCACCTCTGGATTTTTTTTTTTTTTCTGCAAACATGCAAATCTGGGTCCGGGCGTATCTCTGCAGGAAGAGAGGACTTCTCCTCCCGAACCTCCGCGGGCGTTTGCTGAACTGACGGATTCTCAGCCCAAGGGGATTTTATTGCAGGGAACAGGGAAACTCTCGCTCCCCTTTGGCAACGAGCATCCTGAGCGCCCAGGTCCCTCCAGGAAACCCTCTCCCACCCCGGGGGGCTCTGGGATCCCCGATTTTCCATCTGGCAGCAGGGACATGGCCGGGGCGAGGAGGGAAGCGGTTTGAACCCGGGGGAAGGGAGGCAGTGGCTGCATCTCCGCGACCTTACGCAACCG